TCGGGGTTCGTGCTAAGCGATGTCCCAAACCAGCGGGGGGAAAGCGTCGGCGAGTCCTACCGCTGTAGAAGCATAATCGTATAGTGGATGCGCTTCTGCTCTGTTATGTATATATATATATATGTACATATACCTATATGTATATGTATATGTATGTATTATATATCTATATATGTTGATGTAGAAAGGCCTCAAGCGCATCCACCTTTCATGTTCCTCAAGGTGTTGGAGAAATCTGTCTCGCTCCTCCTGGGTGAGAACGATATGAGGATGCTCCAGCGCTTCCTCCTCTTCCTCCCCCCCCTCGACCAGAGCCTCCTCATTCCACCCCCCCCGCGCGCGCACGGCTCCCGAGCCTTCTCCTCGCTCGCCTGCCGCCGCCCCTTCTGCCCTCCGACGCGGCGGAGCGGCCTCCGCGCCCTCCTTCCAGGCCCCGCGGCAGGCCCGGGGCGGGACACCGCGCCCCCCCTTCTGGCGCTGGCCTCCTCTGCCGCCAGCCCGCCAGCCCGCCCGCGATGCAGGGCGCCGCGCGGTGCAGACGGCGGGCGCGCGGGCCCCCCGCGGGCCCCTCGAGGCACGCCGTGGGCGGCCTCGGCACGGAGGCGAGCACGGCGGGTGGCGAGCACGGCGGAGGCGGCGGCGGGCCCGGAGCTGCCTCGTGGGCGGCGCGAGCACGTCCCGCGGGGGGGCCACGTGCGCGCTCTGCCCCCCCCCCACCCCCCACGATTTCTGAGCGGAGGGAGATCTCCCCCGTGGGGGGCAGGGGTAGGGTCCGCATGTGGCCCCCTGTCCAGAGGTGAAGCGGAGGGCCGGCGTGACCGCCCGTGCCCCAAGCCGAGCAGGAGGCGGTGCGGGCGGCCTCGACGCGGAGGCGCGTCAGCGGACGGTGAGCCCCGCGAAGGCGGCTGCGGGTTGGGACTTGCCTCGGGAACGGCGTGGACATCTCCGAGGATTGGCGAGGGGCGGGCGCGATCGCCCATGGCCCAGGCCGCACAGTGGGCGGCGCGGATCGTGAACGACGTGGACATCAGGAGAGAAAAAAACACGCAGACACAATTGGTCGTCGATCCCCCAGAAAATGTTGGAAAATATGGGAAGTGGTGGGGAAGACAGAAACCCAGAAAGTATGGGAAAATATAGGGAATCTTGTTATTTGTGTGTATTTATTTGTGTGTCCCAGGGCCCCTTCAGGATAGGCGAAAGAAGGCGCGATCGCCCATGTCCAGGCCGCCCCCTGCGCAGGGCCCCCCTGGCGGCGCCTCCAGGGAGCAGGGTCCAGCGTCGATGCAAGAAGTCCGCGAGGAGCTCCGAAAGTCTACGTATTTCGTTTTTGTGTGCGAACAGGGGTGGAGGAACAACGTGCACCGCTTTGAGCTCCTCACGACTCCGAATCTGCGCACGGGTGTGCGGGGAGTCTCCTGCGCGCAAGTGGGGCGATACGAAAAGGGGGGAGGTCTGCCGAAGGGGCCGAGCGCGCGCAGAGTGAACCAGAGTCTTGTGAACGCTGGCAAGTGCCAGGAGCAGCAGCCGCAGTCGTTGCAGAACTAGAGCCCACCGAATCCCGAAGCGTAGCTGAGACTTCGGCGGCCTCAAGATCCCCTTCTCCTTCCTTTATTATTCCTAGGCCCTCTCCTCACTCGTCCCGCGCTGTATGCACACCGCAGCTCGCGGCGATCTGCAATTCGCGCACTCCCTGGCTTTGCGTGGTCTCCGACGATTCTGCCTCGCCTCCAGCTTCGAGTTTCGGGCGCTTCGGTCTCCCAACAGCTCGGGCCGCCTCGCATCTTGCGCGGGTTATATGACAGCCGCGTCGGGCGAGAAGGGGGGGTTAGGAAAGGGGGGTACGAACCTTGCTGCATGCAGCTCGTTTCGGCCCTGCCGCCGAGAGCCTTCCTCGATATATGTATATATATATACACATATACATATACAAAATCATATATATATATATATATATATATATATATATATATATATGTGTGGGCGCCCCCCCGCGCCGGGAAGACCAGCTGCGTGAGCTGATTCGCCCGCCCCAATTGCTGGCCTCATGTTTCCGTGCGACCTGGTACAGGCTACAATGCCTCGGCATCGCTCGGACGTGTGCGTTTTTTCTCGGCGAGGACCATCGAGGACCATCCTGGATCATCGAGCAAAAAAAAAGCACGCACGAAACCGAAACATGTACGGGAAATGGACGTTGGAGCGACAGCCAGGCTAGCCGCATTACTCCGGGCGACCTGGTACAGGCCACATGCGTGGGTGGCGCCTTGGAGTCCGTCTTCGGGAGTCTCGACCGTGCTTCCGCTCCATGAGCTTCTTGGCCTCGGCATCGCTAGGACGTGTGCATTTTTCCTTCCGCGGGGACCATCGAGGAGCATCCTGGATCATTTGGCGAAAAAGCCACGCCCGAAACCGAAAAATGCACAGGAAATGGACGTCCGAGCGATGGCCAGTGGCGGCAGCGCGAGGACGTGTGGATTTTTCCTTCCGCGGGGACCATCGAGGAGCATCCTTGATCATTTGGCGAAAAAGCCACGCCCGAAACCGAAACATGCACGGGAAATGGACGGCCGAGCGATGGCCAGCGGCGGCAGCGCGAGGACTGCGCTCCGGGGGCCAGCGTCGCAGACCGCGCTGGCTCGCGCGGTGGGGTGAGGCAATGCCCATGCTCCCCCTCCCCCTCCTCCTCCTCCTCCCCCTCCTCCTCCTCCTCCTCCTCCTCCTCCTCCTCCTCCTCCTCCTCGTCCCCTCCTCCTCCTCCTCCTCCTCCTCCTCCTCCTCCTCCTCGGCGTCATCGTTGCTCCCTCCCTCCCTCCTGCAGGGCAGGAGCAGGACAGTCCGCACATCAGCTTTGTAGCTTGGCATCATCAGTGCCTTCCCATTGCGCCAGACAAGGAGCCCCATACCACCACGATCATCGTCGCTGGCATCATCCGTATCATCGCCATCATCCGAACCGCCTTCCCCCATCCCCCCTCGACCCCTCCCCGTACTGCTGGCGCCGCCGCCCTCTTATTCACGAGCACCATCGTCACCGTCGTCCCTATCATCCTCCTCCCTTCTCCCCCTGCTTCATCTGTTTCTCTTCCTCCTCCTCCTTATTCTCCTCCTCCTCATCATCATCATAATCATCATCATCATCATCATCATCATCACCATCACCATCAGCAGCAGCATCATCATCATCATCATCACCACCATCATCATTATTATCCCCATCTTTCTCATCCCCCTCGTTGTACTCATTTTCTTCCTCCTCCTCAACTGCCTCCTCCTCCTCTTTCTCCTCCTCCTCCTTATCCTCCTCATCCTTCCCTTCCTCCTCCTCCTCCTCCTCCTCCTCCTCCTCCTCCTCCCCCTCCTCCTCCTCTTCCTCCTCGTCCTCCTCTTTAACTTCCCCCCTTCGATCCTCTTTAACGTCCCCCCTTCGATCCTCTTTAACTTCCCCCCTTCGATCCTCCTCCTCTTCCTCCTCCTTCTCCTCCTCATCATCCTCCTCCTCCTCCTTCTCTTCATCCTCCTCCTTCTCCTGCTGCTTTTCCCCCATGCCCCTCTCCCCCCCCCCTCCACACGAACCCCACCCCACCCACGCCCGGACGCCAGGTGGGACGATGAGGAGGAGTAGGAGGAATAGGAGGAAGAAGAGGAAGATGAACAATTCGAGGAAGAGGAGCAGGAAACTGGAGGCCGTGGAGGGAGGACAGAGGAACGAGGAAGGAAGAAAGGGAAACAGGAAGGGAAGAAGGAGGAGGATGAGAAGACTCATCTTCCTCCTCCTCCTCCTCCTTCTCCTCCTCCTCCTCACCTTCCCCCTCCTCAACCGCCTCCTCCTTATCCTCCTCCTCTTCCTCCTCCCTCTCCTCCTCCTCCTCCTCCTCCTGCTCCTGCTCCTCCTCCTCCTCCTCATCCTCATCCTCCACCTCCTCCTCACATCATCTCACCACGGCTCTACTCTTCTCCCTCCTCCTCCCCCTCTTCGTTTTCCTCGTATTCCTCTTCGTCCTACCCCTTCTCCCGCCTCCTCCTCTTCCGCCTCCTCCTCCTCTTCCTCCTTGCCTCCTCCTCTCCGCTCCTCCTCTCCTGCTCCTCCTCCGTCTCTCCTCCTCTCCTCCTCCTCCTCTCCTCCTCCTCCTCCTCCTCCTCCTCATCATCATCATCATCATCACATCATCATCATCACCACCATCACCATCACCATCAGCATCATCATCAGCAGCATCATCATCAGGATAATCATCATCGTTTTCTTTTATCAGAATCATCATCGTCGTCATCATCATAAACATCATCAGCAGCATCATCACCTTCATCCTCATGCTCCTCTTCCTCCTCCTTCTCCCTCTTCCTCCTCCTACTCTTCTCCTTCCTCCTCCTCCTCCTCCTCCTCCCTCCTCCCTCGTCCTCCTCCTCCGTCCTCCTCCGATTCCTCCTTCCATTCCTGCTCATCTCCTCCTCCTCCTCCTGCTCCTCCTCCTCATCATCCTCCTCATTCTCCTTCTCCTTCTCCTCCTCCTCCTCCTCCTCCTCCTCCTCCTCCTTCTCCTCCTCCTCCTCCTCATCCTAGCCGTCTTCGCTGGGGACCTGAACGTCAGCGACGAACACGTGGTGCAGGGCCTCCGCGAGAGCTGGGGCTGGAGCGATCCGGGACGCCCTGCGGCAAGACCGCCGCCCCCCGCGCCCCTGGGCTCGAGCGGCGAGGGATCGGAAGGCTCTGGAGGGGGGGGGGGGGGCAAGGAGGGAGGAGGTGAGGAGGTACGGTCAGGAACTTGTGCATAACATGTCGCGGCTGCGGCCCCGGAGGCCCGCTATGGCCTGCAAACGGATGGCGCGTCGCCCCGCTCCGCGGGGCGGGCTGGGAACAGCCCGGGACGTGGAAGCTTGGGAAGAGGCGGCTGCACGCGAAGCCAACGTTCCTGACCGTGGCGTTAGGTGAATGACTACATGTACACCTTAGGCGATGCTTAAGAAAACCTAAGTTTTCGTCCAGAGTCTCGATTATTCTTAACTTCTCAATGTAAATCCCAAGATTTTGATAGAAGTTCTGGGTTTTATTCAAGTTCGGAGACTATGAATTTCTTAACCCATGATTTCTTAAGCATTTCGCAGGGTGTACATGGATTGGGAGGTGAGGGGCCGAGCGCGGAGGCGACAATGTGAGCGAGGCGGTGGGCGAGGTGGTGAGCGCGGAGGTTAGTCTCTTAAGTTGGGCCTGTCCTTCTACAGGGGGAACATTCAAAAATAGTCAAACAATAGTCTGGTGATTATTGTTTGAGCATTCGTTGACTATTTTCATTTTTGTCCAAAGTCCCCCTGTAGGGGGACAGGCCCGACTTAAGGTTAGTGAGATGGTGAGCGAGGAGGTGGGGAACGGAGCGCAGGGGTGAGGAGGCGAGCGAGGTGGCGACCGAGGATCTCCCGCCCGAAAGAGTTTTGCCAGCATCTCCCACGAGGCGCTCTGCAATTTCCAAGCCAGAGATATTCGGGGCCTCCTTTTGGCCGTCTTGGCGCCCTCCCGGGCCGCCTTCAACGATACTCCTGCCCCTCCGTTTTCGGCGCTGGCCCTGCTTCCGACCCCGCCGCCTCCGCCCTCGCGGGGCGCCGGCGGAAGGGGGGCAGGAGGCGCGGGGTGGGGACGAACGGGCGGCGGACCTGTTCACCTCCTCTCTCCCTTCCAGTCCACTCACCTCGCTCACCTCTTCGCTCACCTCGCTCACCTCCGCGCTCACCACCTCGCTCACCACCTCGCTCACCTTTGCGGTCAGCTGAGGGGCTATCGGGCACCCGGTGCATGACATAGTTTCCCATGAAAAGGGAGCTAGCATGATGAATGCATGTTGCATATCGTATCATTGAGCGGTATGATGAAATGTGTGTCGTTGTTTTCGCTATTATCGTTAAGTCGGGCCTGTCCCTCTACAGGAGGAATATAGTCTGGGGACATTTTGTTTTACTATTTTTGAGCATGTTTTAAAGCATTTGTTGGGGTATTGTTAATTTTTCGTTCAAAATCCCCCTGTAGGGGGACAGGCCCGACCCAATATTATCGTCAACGTTGTCGTCCAGGGGCAGGGGAGGGGAGGGGCCGTGGCGGCCGCCACGGGTCACGTTGGGCGCCACTGTGCGTCTATGGGTCTCTCGGGCCCTCCTGGCCGCACAGGCGACGCTCGAGACGCTGGACCCGCGTGGCCCGGGCGGAGGCTCAGACCTCCAACGCATGGGAAGAATCAGAGGCGTTTTTTTCGTCGTTTTCGGCATCTGGGGCCCTCGCTGGGCCCTGGGACCGTAAGAGGAAATATCCAGGACGAAAGGCCGGTCCCTGGGACGTGGCCCAGAGCTCAAGAGACTCCGCCTCGAAAGAATCGACAGACCGGAGGTCTGGGAGGGGTGTCGCCATCATCGCTGGTGCAGCCAGGCGCGGCCCATCATCTCAAGCGCCGTCGCGGCGGAAAGCTCGGTAGAGGTTAAAGGGAGACGAGGCGGGGAGGAGGGGGGGTGGGAAAGCGGGATAAGGAGAGCCAGGTGTCGGACATCAATCACGCAGCACTCACGCAGCGCTCTTTTTCAAGACCCCCCCACTCTTCCCGGGTATTGCTTATTTGTCATTGTTATCGTCTTACCGTCTCAGTCCGCCACCTTTCCGCCCTGCGACACACGGGGAGTTGAAAGTGTGGGCTCAGGTGTCCCTCCGACCTGTTTGGCAAAGTGTGAAGTCCGAGTGTCCTTTGTCTGAGCGTGAGTCAGATCTGCTTAAAACGCATCCTTGAATTCTTGTGGAATCATACCTCTACTTGTGTCTAACTTGTCGAGCTCAGAAACACATAATAACAAAACACGCGAGCGCATTTAAGGCATACGTTGGCGAGCTCTACAAGCTCAACCTAGTCGCAGTGAGTTCTAGTACGATTTCTGTACAAGTCGACGGGTTACGGGAGTCTGTGGATGATCCATGGGGGCCGCGATTCAGCCGAGGATAAGTTCCCACTTGGCGAAATTGGCGTACCTTGAACACTTGACGCCCGCAAGCACTAAACAAGTAAGCAACACTCACGCAGCGCGCTTTAATGATTTCTGCCATCCCTCCACTCCCCCCTTTTCTTATTATATTCAAGCTGTCGCAGTTGACACGCTACTCACTAAAAAGAATACCTGGCTGTCTTATGAATGCATTCTCTTAAGAATGCTGTGCCGTTACTTTGTTGACCGTGCTAAGATCGCTCTCTCACATTTTGAAAACCACCCGCCCTCAATACGTGAAGCTCTTGCAAAACAATGGAAATCATGTGCGCGGCGCGAAGGCGAGACCCGCGTTTTGAAAACGGCCCGCCCTCAGTCCGCGAAACTCTTGCAATTTGTTTTAGACGAATGTGCGCGGCGCAGGGGCGGGAGCCACATTTCGAAAACCACCCGCCTTCAATCCATGAAGCTCTTGCAAGTGTTATACGCGAATGTGCGCGGCGCGCAGGCGAGAGCCACATCTTGAAGACGGCCCGCCCTCCACGTGTGAAACTGTTGCCAGCTTGTAAGCTTCAGGGTCAGAAATGGTGAGACATCTCAGGCGAAACGCATGGCACGCCCTTTCGACCAGCCTCGGGGTACGACAGGGATCAATTATTCATAAAGAGAAGTGATGAATGAGGCGGAGGACGAGGAGGATAACGGAAGAGAAGAAGGGAGGAGGAGGAGGAGGAGGAGGAGGAGGAGGAGGAGGAGGAGAGGAGGCGGAGGATGGGAGGAAGGAGGAGAGGAGGGAGGAGGAGGAGGAGGAGGAGGAGGAGCAGGAAGGAGAGGATGAGGAAAAGGAGGGAGGAGGAGGAGAGGGAGGAGGGAGGAGTAGGAGGAGGGAGGAGGAGGGAGGAGGAGGGAGGGGAGGAGGAGGAGAGGGAGGAGGAGGGGAGGAGGGGAGGAGGGGAGGAGGAGGAGGAGGAGGGAGGAGGAGGAGGAGTTGGTGTGCAAGCTTCCGCCTCTCCGCCCTCCCCTCGACAAAAGGGGGTGGGCTGGCGGGCCTCAGCGGCACGGAGCCGACCTGGTTCGCGGGCGGTTGGCACCCAGACAGGATCTTCTTGCGGTCGCCCGCCTACGAGGGGTCCAGTCGGGGCAACTCGCAGCTGTTCGGGAGGAGCGCATCATCATCATCATCATCATCATCATCATCATCATCATCATCATCATCATCATCATCATCATCATCATCATCAGCAGCAGCAGCATCATCATCATCACCATCACCATCATCATCATCATCATCATCATCATCATCAGCAGCAGCAGTATCATCGCCACCATCATCATCACCATCACCACCCATCACTAACACAATCGTCACCACCGCCATCACCACCATCATCATCATCATCATCATCAGCATCATCATCATCAGCATCATCATCATTATCATCATCAGCATCATCATTATCATTATCATTATCATCATTATCATCATCATCATCATCATCATCATCATCATCATCAGCATAATCATCATCATCGTTGTCGTCTTCGTCATCCTCATCGTCACCAGCAGCAACAGAAACTGCAGCAGCAGCAGCATCAGCGTCAGCATCAGCATCAGCATCATTATCATCCTCATCCTCATCCCCATCCTGCTCCTCGTCTCTCCCCCCTCGCCCTCCGTGCTCTTCCGCTTCTCCCCCTCGCCGCCCCCCTGCTGCTGGTCCTCCTCTTCCTCCTCCTCCTCTTCCTCCTCCTCGGTGGATGGACTGATCGATATATCGAGAGTGCGTCTGTGTGTTAAACAAAGAGAGAGAGAGAGAGAGAGAGAGAGAGAGAGAGAGAGAGAACAAAAAAGAGAGAGAGAGAGAGAGAAAGAGAGAGAGAGAGAGAAAGAGAGAGAGAGAGAGCGAGCGAGCGAGAGAGAGAGAGAGAGAGAGCGAGAGAGAGAGAGGGAGCGAACATACTTCCAGCGCTCCTGCCAAGGACGCCGTCTGGCATCTCCATCACGGCGCACGACAGCCAGGTGAGTTGCGGGGCAAACGACAGATTGTGCCACCTGTCCTTGCTCTCTGCCCCATCTCTCCCTCCCTCTCTCCCTCCCTCCGTCTCTCCCTCCCTCATTCCTCCCTGCCCTTCTCCCTTCCTCTCTCGCTCCCTCTCGCTCCGACGTTCCCTCCCTCTTCTTCAGCCCTTTTCTACCTTCACCCCTCCCTTCCTTGATGACAACAACATCGTCATAGTCTCCACCGTCATCATCACCATCCTCATCGTCAGTATTAGCACCAGCATCATCATCACTGTCGCCATCATCATGCCCAGAGCCATCACCAGCAGCAGCAGCACCACCAACAGCGGGCGATTGCCGACCCCAGGTGTTCACGCCGTCTGACCACTTTGCCCTTGTGGCCACGATCGTTCGGACTGCGCCGCACGGGGTCACGTTCGCCCAGCCGTCGGCAGCCTCAATGCAGGTGGTATCCGTCGTCTCATCCTAATGTGTCCGTTTTCCCTTCTCCTTCCTTTTCTTGCTCCCTCCTCCTCCTCCTCTTCCTCCTCCTCTTCCTCCGCAGCTGCTGCCCTTCCTCCTCGCTCCCCCCCCCCATACCACTTCCTCCGTCTCCTCCTCCTCACCTCCTCCTCCTCCTCCTCCTCCTAAGTCCTACCCTCCTCCATCCCCTCCTCCTTCTCCCTCATCCTCTGCTCGTCCTACAAATTAACCATGCCTCCTCCTCCTCCTCCTCCTCCTCCTCCTCCTCCTCCATCTCCTCCTCCTCCTCCTCCTCCTCCTCCTCCTCCTCCCACTTCTCCTTCCCTGGAAGGGTCACGAGAACCTCCAGCGAACTTGCCCCTCGAAGCATAATCCGACAGGAGGCCGGCCTTCGTGGTGGCGCGCCTGGCTACCCTCCTCCTGTGGGTTCGCGACCACGCAGTGGCTGCCGACGAAATCCAGCGAATTCCTCATTCTCAGCCTCCACCTCCTCCTCCTCCTCCTCCCTCCTCCTCCTCCTCCCTCCTCCTCCCCCTTCCTCCTCTCCTCCTCCTCCTCCTCCTCCTCCCTCCTCCTCCTCCTCACACTCCTCCTCCATCCGCCTCCGCCTCCCCTACATCATCCTCATTCAATTCTCCTCTGCCCTCTCTTCCTCCGCCTCCTCTTCCTCCGCCTCCTCTTCTCCGCCTCCTCTGCCTCCGCCTCCTCCTCCTCCGCCTCCCCTCCATCTCCTCCTCCTCGTCCTCCTCCTCCGCCTTCCCCTACTTCATCTCCTCCTGCTTCTCTCCTCATTCCCGCCTCCTCCTCCTCATGCTTCCATCTCCTCCTCCACCTCCTCCATGTCCATCCCCTCCTCCTCCTCTCCTCCTGCTCCTCCTGCCTCCTCCTCCTCCTTCATCTCCTTCCTCCTCCTCCCCATCCATCCTCCCGCATTCTCCTGCGCCTCCTCTCCTCCCTCCCTGCCTCCACCGTCCTCCTCCTCCCCTCCGCCTCCTCTATCTCCTCCTCTCCTCCTCCGCGCCTCCTCCTCCTCCTCCTTCTCTCCGTCTCCTCCCCTCTTCCTCCTTCTCCTACTACACCTCTTCCTCCGTCCTCCTCTCACTCCTTCTCCTCCTTCATCTCCTCTTTCTCATCCTTCATCATTACCGCACTTCCTCCTCCTCTCCTCATCCTCCTCCTCTCCTCCTCCTCCTCCTCTCTCTCCTCCTCCTCCATCTCCTCCTCCATCCTCCTCCTCCTCCACCTCCTCCTCCTTCTCCTCCTTCATCTCCTCCTTCTCCTCTTCCTCGTTCTCCGCCTCCTCATACTTCTCCTCCTCCGTAGACATCGCTGCTCAAACGGCATGCTGGCTGTATGGTCACCACTCGCGCTGCTAGTTCCCTTCGGTGCCACTACCTGATAAGCTGGTCTACCAGCTTCGCGATCAGCTTCTCCAAACACTCTCTGATGCTGCAGGCGCGCACTTCGATGTTTTAGCGGCAGGAGCGCGGCAACACAGTCACGTGCGGGGGCCTCTTCCCAGCAAGATCATCAAGATCGATGCTTGCTGCAACCTCCTGCGGCACATCGCGGGTGTCTGCGTGCGCAACTGCACCGACGAGGTGACCAGAACGCTTGGGCATGGTGGCTCGAACTGCGCTGACCTGGCGCGGCGCCACGCATGGACTTCAGCACCGCGCGCGGCGAGTCGGAGTCCGTCACCGCCGTCAGCGCGACCGGCACGGTGGTTGCGTGTGTCCAGACCGGTCTTAGGATGCACCGCTTCGAGAGCACTCGAGTGGTTGCCAACGATGCGGGCGATTACGAGGATGAGTACGCCTCATGCCTGAATGGCGGGCGTGTGGCTTGTGATCCGCATCCTGAACGTCGGCACGGAAGACTCCGGCCTGATGGTGTCAAGTCGGGCATGTCCCTCTGCAGGAGGAATATTCAAAAATAGTCTAAAAAATGGGCTGGGGACGATGCTTCGAATATGTTCTGGCAATGTTTCATTATGGCTGGACTATGGTTTAGCTCTTGTCCAAAACCCGCCTGCAGGAGGACATGCCCGACCTGAGATGAGCAGGGCCATGGCGAGCTTCATCCTGGGGGGGCCAAGCCCTCGCGGTCCTGACGGTGTGTCTCCTCGAGAGCCTCGGCCTGACATGCACTTTCCCAGCAGCCAACAGCGTGGCCCCTCAGGCACAGGGAGAGACCAACCACGCACAGGGTCCACACAAGCAGGGCGTGTACTCGGCGGGCATTCTCCGCCAGAGCGGCACGTATTTGGGCGCGCATGCGGGAGCTACTCGCGACCAAAAAATCCCAGCGAGCATCGTTCAGGCGTGCGGCCGGAGGACCATCTCCCCGGTGGGCTTTGGGGCCCCAGTGGCCTCCGGGCGTGTGATGCCAGCTCCCACGACGACGTGCCGGCGGCGATGAGGGCCCACGCGCGGGAGCGTCGGCCTCTTGAAATTAAGTCGGGCCTATCCTTCTACAGGGGGAATATTCAAGAAGAGTTCAAAAATAGTCTGGGGATTATTTTCAAAGTATAAAGTATGCTTTGACCATTTGGGAGCATTTTTAGCATATTTTTCCAAACCATCCTGTGGTGCTGGGTCCTCGTTTTGAAGAGACGGTCCCCGCGTTCCTCTTCTCCTCTCCTCCTCCTCCCCCTCCTCCCCCTCCTCCCCTCCCTCCTTCTTCCATGCGTTTCACCCACCCAGCACAGCGCTTCGTGGCCTCATAGGGAGCTCCACGGAAGGTCCCAGTGGCACCGCCCGCATGCGTCCGCCACCACCCAACACAGCCCTTTGCTCCCTGCGTTTCACCCACCCAGTACAGCGTTTCGTTGCCCCAAAGGGAGCTCCACGGAAGGTCCCAGTGGCACCGCCCGCATGCGTCCGCCACCACCCAACACGGCCTTTGCTTCCTGCGTTTCACCCACCCAGTACAGCGCTTCGTGGCCCCATAAGGGGGCTCCACCGAAGGTCCCAGTGGCACCGCCCGCATGCGTCCGCCACCACCCAGAACAGCCATTGCTCCCTGCGTTTCGCCCACCCAGTACAGCGTTTCGTGGCCCCCTAGGGAGTTCCACCGAAGGTCCCAGTGGCCCCGCCCGCATGCGCCCCCCACCACCCAACACGGCCTTTGCTGTCTGCGCTTCGCTCACCCAATACACCCTTTCGTGGCCCCATAGGGGGCTCCGCCGAAGGTCCCAGTGGCACCGCCCGCATGCGTCCGCCACCACCCAGCACAGCCCTTGTTCCCTGCGTTTCACCCACCCAGTACAGCGCTTCGTGGCCCCATAAAGGGGGTTCCACCGAAGGTCCCAGTGGCACCGCCCGGATGCGTCCGCCACCACCCAGCACAGCCCTTGTTCCCTGCGTTTCACCCACCCAGTACAGCGCTTCGTGGCCCCATAATGGGGGCTCCACCGAAGGTCCCAGTGGCACCGCCGGATGCGTCCGCCACCACCCAACACAGCCCTTGCTCCCTGCGTTTCACCCACCCAGTACGGCGCTTCGTGGCCCCATGGGGGGCTCCACCGAAGGTCCCAGTGGCACCGCCCGCATGCGTCCGCCACCACCCAGCACAGCCCTTTGCTCCCTGCGTTTCGCCCACCCAGTACAGCGCTTCGTGGCCCCATAGGGGGCCCTCCCGAAGGTCCCAGTGGCACCGTCCGCATGCGTCCGCCACCACCCAGCACAGCCCTTGCTCACTGCGTTTCGCCCACCCAGTACAGCGCTTCGTGGCCCCATGGGGGGCTCCACCGAAGGTCCCGGCGGCGCCGCCCGCATGCGCCAGCCACCACCCAGCACAGCCGCTGCTCCCTGCGTTTCACCCACCCAGGACAGCGCTTCGTGGCCCCATAGGGAATGCCAGCGAAGAAGGTATTCACAATTGCGGTACTCACAACTGCATATGGTTGGGTCCTTCGCCAGGCTAATTTTTTCGTCGGAATTCCCCCTGTATGGGGGACACGCCCGACTTAATCTTGAAACTGGTGCTGGCGATGTTGACGATGCCCAGCGCGCTCTCGATCTCCTGTCCCTCGTGCGGCTGGCCGTGAACGAATCGCTCTTGTGGTATCTCCGCGCCCTGGGGCCTTCACAGGCTGCCCAGCGATCACGGAGGCGGCGCGCAGCGAGCGCAGGTCCCTGCTGCAGCTCAAACCTCCGGCACCGACTCGAGACGTGCACGTTGATAGGTTGTGTGTCTCCTCCGTTGTTCGCCGCTGCGCCCTCTTTGCCATTCTTTTCCTCCTGGCGCTCTCGTGCGCGATGCTCCGTGTTTGTTGTTCGGCGGCTCTCGTCACCCACACCTATGTTGAATAGCTCGTGATCGCTGGTATGTGTGTTGCATATGGAGTTGTCACCGTGTTGTGCGTTGGGCTGCATGCCTGGTTCGATTGTGTAAGCGGCGGTTCGTTATGGAGCCTTCTGCTCGATGGCCAGTTCGTTCCTCCCCCCCTCCCCCTCTCCCTCCCCCTCCTCCTCCTCCTCCTCCGCCTGTGACGCTCCTCCAACTTTCTCATCCTCCTCCTCCTCCTCATCCTCATCATCCTTCTCCTCCTCTTCCTGCTTTTCCTCCTCCTCCGTCGCCTTACTCCTCTTTACAGCAACTCAACATGACATCCAGTTGCTTCTCTCTCCTGATCATGCCCAGCGGCATGCCCGCCTCACTTGTGCAATGTGTGCCACATGCGCGCGCGTAAGCATCATTCCAACGCGTGCTGTTTTGAATGTTGCCCTCGATCGGGAAGCTTTCGTCCATTCAGCAGTGATGTTTCACTGCATGTTTGGCCGCATGTCCGCATCGGCACTTTGCTCCCGTCGTTCAGAATTGTGTTCCCGCCCCATCGGGCTACATTTCAGGATCCGACTGCTTCCTCGTCGTTGCCGCTCCCCTCATCTCCCATGTTCCGAAATCCCCTGGTCCTCCCGTTCACCCTACGCATCCTGCTCCTGCTGCTGTTCGTTCCCCCTCCTCCTTCTTCTCCTCCTCCTCTTCCTCCTCCTCCTCCTCCTCCTCCTCCTCCAATGTGCAAGGCCCCCTTTCTCTGATTGCGCATCACACGATGGAGTCGCTTGGGGGATCATGGGGGCATCCCACTTGGAGGATAGGGAAGAGTTCAGCGCGAGCACGCCGAGTTTGCCTCTCTCTTCCCCCTCCTCCTCTCCCGCCCTTTCTCCACCCACCTCACTCCTTCCTCCCTCCGTCTTCATCCCCCCTTGCATATGCCGTTCCTCCCTCTCGTCCCCATCTCTCTCCTCATCTTTCTCCTCCTCCGCCTCCTTCTCCTCGTTCTCATTTTTCTCCTGCTGCTACTATGTGTTATTTCTCTTCCTCTCCTCCTCCTCCTCCTTCTCCTCCTCCTCGTCCTCCTCCTCCTCCTCATCCTCCTCCATCTCCTGCCAGCCAATGGCGGCGCCCAGGTGGTGGACATGTCGCTGCCGCTTCAGATTTGCGCCCAGCCTCGGTGGTCGGTCAGAAAGACGCAAGAGGCCGTGGGGTCGGACTCCCCGTCGATTCTGCACGCTCACAGGAACGTCACCAGTGCCGTCGAGATGCTGAATTTCGGGGCGCACAAGTTCCCCGACGAGTGCTACGTCTATAGCGACCAGAGGCAGCAGTGGTTCAAGCTGTGGAGAGAGAAAGGAGGCCTACGGCATGCCCAAAGAGCAAGAGCACAAAAACACAGACAGGGGAGGAGGGAGAAATCAGCAGGAGGAGGAGAAGGAGGAGGGGAACTACGACGACAAAGAAAGCGAACAGCTATAACGATGAAGAGGAGTAATGCACTCCCCTGCGCTCATGCCTCCTCCTTTGCCCTCCTTCTCCTCCTCGCCTCCTCGTCCTCGTCCTCTTCCTCCTCGGCTCTACTTGTCTGCAAGCGCCCTCGCGTCTTGCATACAGTCAACCCGCATAGGAAGGATGGGCAACCTTCCCAAGGGTACCCTTGCATCCTTGCCTCCTCGGTCCATCCTTGGCCACTTCCGTGGGCCGCGCCCCGCTCGAGAAGCTTCGACATGGGCTTCCAGGGCCCGTGCATCCTCATATCGCGCGTTTTCTTATGATACGGGTGGACTCTACGCCGGGTCCTACCCCATCCTCCCGCGGCCGCCTTTCCCCCCCTCGTTCCAGTATTGCGCCATTTTCGTTGCATCTTCGGGGGACCTCGCCTGTCCCCCAAATGGGTGTCTTTTCTTGTGCCCGACGCGGGCTCGATGTGGGCTCGACTCGGATTTGGCGTGGATCCGACGCGGGCTCGACACGGAGTCGACACGGATCCGATAAGGCCGACATGGATTCGGCATGGATTCGACGCGGATAGGGCCGCGACGGGACAGCCAAGCTCCCCCGAGGATGCACCATAACGCCGAGGGGGAGGAGGAGGAGGAGGAGGAGGAGGAGGAGGAGGAGGAGGAGGAGGAGGAGGAGGAGGAGGAGGAGGAGGAGGGAGGAGGAAGAGTGAGAGGAGGAGGAGGAGGAGGAGGGACAGGAGGAGGGGGAGAGGAGGAGCCGTCCGGCGGCCGTCGGGCCTGGGCTGCCTCGCGGGGCCCGTGCGCTCGCGTCGGGGCCCGCGGCGAGAGAAGAACGGTGCGCACGCGCCACGATTGTGAGCCCTCCTCGCGGAGACCGGGGCGCGGACTTCGGGGTTCCCGAGTCCGAGTCCTCCCCCTGCGCATCCCCCTCCTCTCCTCCTCCTCCCGTTTTGCCTCCTCCTCTCCTCCTCTCCTCTGCTCCTCCTCACTCCTCCTCCTCCTCGTCCTCCTCCTCCCTTCTTTCCCTCCTCTCCCTCATCCCTCCTCTCTCCTCATCCCCCCCCCCCACACCCCCCCCTCCTCCTCCTCCTCCTCATCCCCCTCCTCCTCCTCCTGCTTCCTCTCCTCCTTCCTCCTACTCTCCTCCTCCTCCTCGTTCTTCACCTCCTCCCCCCTCCTCCCCCCCTCCCCTCCTCCTCCTCCTCCTCCTCCTCCGCCTCCTCCTCCTCCTCCTCCTCCTCCTCCTCCTCCTCCTTACGGCACTCTTCGGCTCCATCAAGTTCGAGAACGACTACAATCGTGAGCGCATCGGAGAGCTGGACGACAATGGCCACCTCATCGCGGACGCGAACCCCATGGCGAAGCAGTACTACAACGACGTCCTCTCCATTCTCGAGTTAGACAGCGCCGAGGAGTTCAGCTATGCATGGGACGGGAGCATCACTCAACTGTATCACGACGCAGAAGTTGCAGCGGCTTTCATCAAGATCGACGTGGCAGAGCTCAGAGCCAGGGCATCAGCAGTAGCGATTCCACCACCTGGTTCGAGCCTCAACCACACGAACAAGACCAACGAGCAGGAGACGAACTGGGTTACTACAAGTGTGACCTGTTAACGGACGCGGGACAAGTCTGCGGCCGAGTTTTTTCATCATGGACAGCGCTCTGTACCCATCAGACCGCGACAAAAGGAGGAGAGCATGGGCTTCGATCAGCAGCTGCAGCAGTCACCATCACCAATCAGTGTCCGCTCTGTCGTACCACGTTTTTCGATCGAGCCCAAGCCGAAGATCATCTGTTGCGATCTCTCAAACACAAGCGCTGCATTGCCGACAACACCAGGCTTCACTACCCGTTGACACCGATCGAGAACCCAGTCTGTCTTCTCTGTCCACATCTGCATCCGTTTGCACATCTCTCAAGCTTCCAGGACCACGTTTGCGCGAATCACCTCCCCACCGAAGAGCACGAGATCTCGCTAGACATCGGCCTCTTCCAGGATGACTTGGTGCGTGCCAAACGAGAAGAACATCGAGGAGGTGGCGAGCAGCATGGCGGATACGGAACGTTCCAGCAAGCAGCGCAAGACTACGCACCCCAAGGGCAAGGGCGGCCACCACAAGAAAGGCGCAAAGGCAGAGGGAAAGGACGCGGACGGGGACGCCAACATGCAGGACAAGGAAGAGGAAGAGCAGCAGGGCGTGACAAGCCCAGCAGCAGCCGCAGCTTCAGGACAGCAAGTACGACGCCAACAACGAGGAGGAGAAGCCTACCAGACCAAGTGCGACCCCAAGCTGAAGAAGTTGCTCACGGTGCTGATCAAGCAAGTGCTGGCCAACACGCAGCAGATCGCCTGGGTCGTTTCCGCGGCCTACAGCACGTACCTGATGCCGACTCAGACCAAGGTGGTCAAGGCGCTCCGAGCCTGCAGGGAGATCTACGCGGACAAGTGCAAGGAGCAGAAGCAGCAGAGCAACATCAAGGACAGCATCCACAGAGCGCTGATCCAAGCGGGAGCCACGGCGAAGACGGGCAAACCACCAGCGGGAGTCATGGAGGATGAGCTGGCTGCGTGGTTGGCAGGGCTTTGACTATGAGAAAATGGATGGCCGACTCGACTACGCCTTGTTCGGCAAGGTGATCGGCGTGCGTGGCGCTGTGATCACGATGAAGGTGCCGCTCTGAGCGGCGACGGCGGGGGCCCATCCATGCGGCTGATCGCACTGCTCCGCCCCCCTATGCCGCTCTATATATCCTCCTCCCCCTCCTCCTCCTCTACCCCCCCCCCTTTTTTTCCTCCTTAACCCCTACCACTCCCCCCTCATCCCCTTCTCCTCATTCATCCTCCTCCTTCCGCCTCCTCTCCTCATCCTCCTCCTCCTTCCTCCTCCTCTTCCTCCTTCACCCTCCTCACTCCTCCTAACTCCCCCTCCTCCTTCCTCATCCTTCCTCCTCCTCCTCCTCCTCTTCTCCTCCTCCTCCTCCTCCTCCTCCTCCTCCTCCTCCTCCTCCTCATCCTCCTCCTCCCCCTCCCCCCCTCCTGCTCCTCCTTCCTCCTCCTCCTTCCCTCCGTCCCTCTTCCTCAGGGGTCGATGCTCCTTTTCGGAAGCGCGCGACGCTGTCCGAGTGCGCTCCTCCACCGCCCCACACGCTCCTCGTCCGCATTTTCTCTGCCAGTCCTGCTGCCCAGGCTGGTGGTCTTTTGACAACACTATGGCGGTCCCGCGCGTAGAGGCGGATCTGATATCCCTGTGGCTGACGCCTACCCCCCCCAGGTATGCGAGAATAAGGATGAGGGGCCACATCGGAATGAGATGGAGGAGGAGGGATGGAGAAGCGAGGAGGGGAGATGGGGAGGAGGAGGAAGAGGAGGAGGAGGAGGAGGAGCAGAAGGAGGAGGAGGAGGAGGAGGAGCAGAAGGAGGAGGAGGAGGACGAGGAGGAGGAGGAGGAGGAGGGGGAAGAGGAAGAGGAGGAGGAAAGAGGAGGAGGAGGAGGAGAGGCAAGCGCAAGAAGAGGAAGAAGAAGAAGAAGAGGACGACCAAACCACCCGCCCCCATTTCTGAAGTTGTTTTTCACCTTTTTGGGGTGCAGGATTCAGAACGTTGAGGAATTCTTGAAGCTTCGCGGTTAGCCCCCACCAGCCCATCCAGAAACGACGCCCAGGCGAGTAGAGGCGATCATGGAAGCGGGGCAGCATACAGAGGAACAAAGGGCTGGGGAGGCCGTCGTACCCCAAGGGGGGGGATGGAGGAGGAGTCGGAGGCGGAAGAGGAGGAGGATGATGAGGGTGGGGAGGGAGGAATGAGGAGGAGGAGAAATAGGCGGATGATGATGTTGATGTTGATATTGATGATGCTGATGATGACGATGATGGTGGTGGTCTTGACGATGGTGATGGTGATGGTGATGGTGATGGTGATGGTGATGGTGATGGTGATGGTGATGATGATGATGATGATGATGATGATGATGATGATGATGATGGTGATGATGAGGGGGAGGAGGAGGAGGAGGAGGAGGATAAGGGCGATCAGAAGAGTCAAAGGCCTCTTGAATGCCTCGCGGAGTCTCTTGGGATGTCTCTTGGGATACTCTTTGAGGTCTCTTGGGGCGTCTTGGGGGCCTCTTGGCGGTCCCGGGAGCTTCTTGGACCGTCTTGGGTGCCTCGTGGGAGCCTCTTGGGGCCTCTTGGGGGCCTCTTGGGTGTATTTTGGGGGACTCTTGGAGGCCTCTCGGGGCCTCCTGGTCGCCTCTTGGGGCCTCCTGGGCGCCTCTTGAGGCCCTCTTGGGGCGCTCTTGGGTGCCTTGGGAGCGCTCTTGGGGCCATCTTGGAGGTGATCGATCAAAGGAAGGGGGTCCCCCAATTAGCCTCCCCCCTCGGGAGCCTCCAAAATCGGCCAAAACCATAGTAAAACCGATGATTTTGGCTTCCTCGCCGAGGCCGTTTTGGATGCTCTAACTACCAGCGGCCCCCCCCGTCCAAGTCCAGGGGAGGGGATTAGGGGAAGGGGTAAACTCCTCCCCGAAGCGGATGAAGGAGGGGTGGAAGAGGAAATTCCCTAAACCACCTACGCCCAGAGGGCTGGTGGGATTCCCCGGCACAACGCCCGACCCGCCCTATCGACACGTGTGGTGGGTGGTGCGACAGGGAGGAGTTATTCATAAATAAATGCATGGCGGACGGGGGGGGGGAGGAGGGAAAAGTGAGGAGGAGGAGGAGGAGGAGGAGGAGGAGGAGGAGGAGGAGGAGGTACGAAGGAGGAGGAGGACGAGGAGGAGGACGAGGGAGGAGAAGGAGGAGGAGGAGGAGGACGAGGACGAGGAAAGAGGAGTAGGCCCTGTTGTCGGGGCTTATCTCCGATACCGCAACCAGCTCGAAGCTCGAAAGAAGAGGAGGAAGAGGAGGAAGAGGAGGAGGAGGAGGAGGAATATGAAGAAGAAGAGAAGGAGGAGGTTGAGGAGAATGACGATCAGGAGGAGGAGGAGGAGGAGGAGGAGGAGGAGGAGGGGGAGGAGGAAGTTCAGGAGGAGAGGGAGGGGAAGGAGGAAGAGGAGAGGCAGGAGATGGGGAAGAAGGAGGAGGAGGAGGAGGACAGTGAGAAGAGAAGGAGAAGGAGGAGAGAGAAAAAAGGAGGAGAGAGAGAGAGAGAGAGAAAAAACAAAAAAAAAAAAAGAGAGAGAGAGAGAGAGAGAGAGAGAGCGAGCGCGACGCGTGCCGCCCCGCCCCCCGACCGGGCGGGGGGGCCCCGCGGGTTCTGGCAGACGCGGGTGGTCACCGAGGCGGTGCGGATGCTGAACGAGGGCACGGACTGGGACAGTGACGGGGGCCGCCGCGCGCCGGGGGGGAGAGCGCACGGGGCACGGGGGGGCCCCCGAGCTCCAGGGCCGCTGCTCCCCCCGAGATCTCCTCCTCCTCTTCCTCCTCCTCCTCCTCCTCCTCCTCCTCCTCCTTCTCCTCCTCCTCCTCCTCCTCCTCCTCCTCTGGGCGCGGCAGCCACTTTCTTGTCCCGCCGGGCGTGCTCGCCCAGGCTGCGGGCCTTTGGGGCCCTCGCGGGGTCGGTCGGGCCCGGAGTGCCGCAGGGAGGCGGGGGGGGGTCTGGGGCTCCGCTCGCGACGCTTCGCGACGCTGTCATTGTTTCGAATCGTCGGACTTCAGGGAGGGAGCACGGATCACGGGGGGGGCTCTGGGAAGCATTGGTCATTCGATCCAGTCCCAACCGTGCTATCCAGTCCCAGGGCAGGGTCGCCCATGGCACCCGCACACTACCATCATCACCGCGCCCTGGACACACACAGCCCACGGCACTCATATACAAGGCCGCCCATTATCATCATCATCTACAGGGCACCCATCTATCCTTGGCCATTTTGGCTCAAGTTCCAACGTTGCCCCCGACGCTGGAGCTTGACACGCAGCCGAGGGGGCGGCTCAAGGCCCCCGTGCATTCAGTTACCTGTTCACCGTCGGTCGAAGTTCACTCGAACCTACTTGCCCCTGCCAGCCTAGACTTCATGCCTGCGAGTGGCAAGCCAGGCAAAGGTGCCGCGGGCGCCCCTCTGGCCAAGCGCCCCGAGGGCAAGGGGCCGAAACTTGCTGACGGCGCTGCTGATCCGAAGCGCTTGCGCCCTGATGACGCCGGCATGCCGTCGGCAGCGGACCCGTTGGCGGAGAACGATCCCTGGCAAGGTGGTGCAGGACGCCCTGGCGGCGCCGCTGGAGCAGCCCCAGTGCATGGCGCCGCCTCTGTTACCGCCGGAACCGGCACTACTGGCGCTACTGACCAGGGCAGTAATGCCGCCGCCCTCATTGACAAGCTGCGCGCCGAGCACGGCAAGTAGCTCGAAGGCGGCAACAAGTCCCTGCACGCAGACATCATCCGCCACACCGGCTCCGCGCGGCCCAGGCGACGACGGTCAACACGATCAGCGAGATCGCCAAGGCGCACTAGCAGCGGAGGTCCCGAACCGAGCCGGACGTTGGCCAGCTGCAGGCCTCGCAGTTCAAGCTCGAACAGAACCAGGCGGAGATGGGCGAGCAGATCGCGACCCTCTAGCGCGCGCTCGCTGTGGCCGAGGCCACTGCCCCACGGGAGTACGAGCACGACCTCAGCTTGTGGGACCGACCCGCCGACAACACCATCCTGCTCGCCAACGCCAGCGCTGAATACCAGCGGGTGCAGTTCGAGCGTACCCTGCACCAGCTCTGGGGGCCGCTCGACAGCAGGCCCGAGCAGCACGACGTCGTCGGCTCAGACGTCGACCGGAGGCACACGGTCCAGTTCAAAGGCTCCGTCGGCCTGGCCAGCTCGAGGGCCAAGCGCGCCATGGATGCCTTGCGACTCCATGGGGGCAATTGGCGGAACCTCGACGCGCAGGTCACCACGGGCCAACAGCAGAGCCTTTACCTGGGACGGGATGAGCCGCCGAAGAGCTCAAGATTCGCACCAAAAAACTCCACACCCACCCTCTTGTCCAACAAGTACCCCGACAAAGAGTTCACCTGCAGCCGATACATCGGGCTCATCTTTTACAGGAGAGCCCTTCTGCCTCATCGAGCTGGAGCCCGATGGCGCTTCTGCGAAAGATGATAGTGGTCGTGCGGCCATCAAGTCGCGAGTCCTCTGGCACGAGCGCGCCCGGGAGACCGCCAGCGTCAACAAGGCAGAGCCCAATGACGAGTTCTCGAAAGTCTTCGACGTCACAGCTGACGTCGTGTTTTCTATTTGATGGACTGTTCGGGCAGTGGCGTCGTCCAGGAGTGCCACAGCTGGACTCGACAACGTTCGCCTCGTGGAATGCGCGCCCTCCTGCATCGCAGGTGGCGCCGGCCTCAGGCCAAGCTTCGATACGCAGTGCAATTTTGGAACCAGTCGACGGTCCTGGCCCTGCAGGAGTTGCATCAGACAGTCGGCGTTCTTGGCCATGAGCTTGGGCAGGTCGGCCTTCATGCCCGTCGATACTCTTCCTTTTCCGATGACAGGGACACGGGTGGCCTGGCGACTCTCTTCCCCCTTTGTTGGAGATCACGAGCGCCTGCGTTTTCAGCACGATGGCTTTGTAGCGGGTCGCATCTTAAAAGTCACCGCCGAGAGCTTGGACTGCGGAGCCGTGCTGACGCATTACAACATCCACAACTACGGGCTCACAGCCGATGACATGAGAACCCTCCACACCTACATTCTTCTTGATCTTGAGGCGACGCGGAACCAGCCGAGGCTACTCACAGTGATAGCGGCGGGCGGTTCCACTTGCATCCCGAGCCAGCGATCTACACGGCGAGCCCCGACGAGCACCGCAGTGGGAGCAGAGAGCAGGCCGACGCGCGGCCGTTAGCGCAGTCCTGGAAACGCACCTTCGAGGCGGTGACCGAGATCCACGACTTGCAACCGACGCACCGGGCACACGAGAGCCTCCAGCTGCAGCGGCTGGACCGCATCTTCATCTGCTCGCCTGCTCGGGCCACCCCCTGCACGCGCGCGTTGCTCCACCGCGCCCTCGCGCCAGACGACACGCACCGACGAGAGCTAAACGACCGCGCGCTCATCTGCCGGGCGCCGCAGCCCGAGCATCTGCAGCCGATCCCCGACTACATCTTCAGGCCAGACGAATACCTCGAGCCCTTCAGCTTTATTCGCAAGCAATTCATCCAAGAGCCATCCTCGGTGCCACTGCGGCCCCCAACGCTCGAGGCCAAAATGACAGCGGCTGCGAAACTCGCCCGGGACAGGGCGTCGGCGCGAGACGCTCCAGACGCAGCCTTCCAGTCCATGAGTGCTCGAGCAGTCTCGCGAGCCGTCTGGCGGCAGGATGTCCGCCTTGCGTGGCGCTTGCGCCAAACGTCGCAACTCGCTCGCCGCTGCACCACGCACGACTTGGAAGCTGGCACCGTCACTTTGCACAGCCCAGCGGCCTTCGAACAGGAGGTCGTCGAGATCCATGCCGAGGCCGCCGCCGACCGGATACGAGAGCTCGAGCTGGGCATGGACCACGCTCGCGGCTAGGGCACCCGAGCCCGCCTCCAGCGCCTGGCGTCGATTACTCGACGACGAGCCTCCCTATGGGCACAGCGGGGCAAGAGCCACATGCTGCGGGGCGTCATCGGCGACGACGGTGAGGTGATGCGAACGGCTAGGGAATGGCCAATTCACGTAGCCGGAGTTCAACGACATCCTGCAGGTCTTCGCGCCCAAGGGCTCCGTTCCTTCAGGACCTTGGGGTCCAGTCAAGGCCCTGGAGACCGCGAGGCCGCTCGCCCTAAAAAACACGGAGAACAAGGCGGCCGTCCTCGTGATGAACGACTTCAATAAAGGCCCGATCGCACGCGCCGCCCACTCGAGCCAGCGGGGCTTCATCACGGGGCAGAACTTCGGCAGCAAAATCGTTCACGTGGACGCCAGGGCCCGAGAGCTCGCGCTCCAAGCGCCCACGCAGCCCGCCAGCCCAACCCTGAACTGTTGCGACTTTGGCGCGGCCTTTCCGAGCTTGGCACAGGCGTGGCTCTTCAAGGTCCCCGAGCGGCCCCGGTTCCCGGCTCGCTTCCGCGCCGCGACGAAAGCCCTCCACGCGATGGCGCGCGCCTGCGTCCAGCGGCCGTGCTCGTTGATCCGTGTTTTCCTGGTCGCGGCGGGCGCGCTGCAGGGGTTTCCCCTAAGCGGCAGCCTGTTCGCCTGGGCGTTCGACCCGATGCTGCGGCGGCTCGAGAAGCTGTTGACCCCGCGTCGGCGCGAGCGCTGCGTGGGCCGAGGCTTCGCCTACGCTGACGACGCCGGCGTCATGCTGCCGTGCTTCGCGACGGCGCGCCAGGTGGAGCTGTTCTCCGGGCGTGCGCCCGCTGCGCGGGTTTGAAGATTAAGTTCAAAAAGCGCGCCATGATCCCGCTCCAAGGGCCATGGACGGAGGCGCTGAAGGAGCGCATCCAACAGCTCCTCCGTGCCTCCACGGACGCATGGGGGGTTTTCCCGATCGTGCCCTCCGCCATCTACCTGGGGGCGCTCACGGGCCCCAAGGTGGCGCTCATGGACGTTCGGCTCACGGGGCTGAACAAGGCGCGCGCTCGCATTGCAGATGCGGCCAGTTCAGGCGCCCACGCGGCCCCTGCAGTTGCGCTCTACACCTCCCGAGTGCTGCAGCTCACGAGCTACCTGGCGCAGTACCTCGTGCTGTCCGCCTACCTCCTGCCCAAGGAGCGCTTCTGGATGCGCAGAGTGGCGCGCCCCCCCCCGAGCACAAGCGGCGCGGCCGACCTGCTGGAGTTGCACTCTTGGGGAGGGCCGCGCCTACCGTCGCTCGCAGCCACTGCCAGGGCCACCTTGATGAGGACGGCGTTAAAGACGCTGGCGCACGCATGGCGGCCCGCCCTTGCGGCGCTCAAGGAGGTGGCGGCGCCCTCGCTGCCGCTTCCTCTCGTGGCCCAGGGGCGCCTTTCGCTTGAGTGGTGGGCGCTACCCAACATCGCGGAGAGCCTCGCCGATGCTGCGGCCGGTTGGCCGGCATCCAGGACCTGGGCAGCGCCGGGGAGAGACGCGCTTCGAGCCGCGCGCGCCGCTGAGCTCGCGCGACAGGCCTTGAAGCTCGCGCCGCGTCTGCAAGCAACGCTGCGTGCGACCTCCTTCACCTCGCTTTTCCCGCCGTCTCTGTCCTCGACTCTCCTGCGTCGCCTCACCTCCCACTCCATTCCCGAATGGCAGCGAGCCTGGATCGATTTCGAGGCACTGCACCGAATTTTCGTCTCCTGGCGGGGGCGCGGGGCCACTGCTGCCTTAAAAGCCTTGCTGGGCGGATGGGCGACGATGGCCA